CCCCTTTCACCCGCAATCGTCTGAAGGCGAGAATTTCAGAAGATTGACATAAACTTCCGTTGTTGCCCATCATCTTTGAGAGGCTTTTTCTGAATTCCCTTAACTAGTGCTCATGCGCGCATCCTTCAACACATTAACACGGGTGAATATTGCGCCTGATGCCACATGCCAAGGAAGCGAACAATTTGTAATCATGAGGCTAAACCATAAATAATAAAAATCCAAAAGTCCAGAAATAATAAACATAGGTGACTCTGATAGTAACAATGGTAAATAAGATGTATCCCAATGCGCCTCAAACCAATGACCAATTACTGAAGGAACTTGTACCTGGTTTAAGAGGTGTCCGACTATGTTCAGCATCCAGGTTCTGCCGGGCTGAACATATTGCAAATTTACTCAATCAACAAATTATTGATTAGAAAGCTTTTCTTGTTTACACAAAACATTGACGTGCTCTGAGACTAGGGTCATTAGTCCTCGAGACAAAGAAGGACAATACTATGGAAGTGCACACCTGCTTCGTGATTTTTTGACCGATCACGGCTGTCCTCAACCTCCACGGCAGTATCGTTGGTATCTGGAAACGATTCCAATGCGAAGCTCCTTCTTTAAAAATAGGGGCATTATGAACTGGTAACTGGTGAGAAGCTGACGGGTCTACACCAGACCACATGCTCCCAGGAGGGATAAGTACACTCACAGATGTCGGTTTTGAACCCCGCTCTGTGCCGAAGACCATCACCACTATCGCAAACTCTCCGCTAGCTGCGAACGCTAATTCATTTCAAGGCAGTACCTTCAGTATTGACATAAATATGTTTTTCTTTAGCTGTCGAACTTTGCATACGGCGGTCGATCGTACGGTAATCGACCAATGCGCGACTGCAGCATCGGACAACATTTTCGCTGGTCACGCCGAACCCCAGGGAAGGGCGCAAGTTCTCCGGCCTTGTTAAGCTCGTGTTAAGGCTGCAGTGGTATCTGCGTTTCAGAGAGAGCGTAATCGCACCTAATTATATGAGATGTGCCTTATAGGCATGCACTCATCGCCCTCGCGGCTGAATGTTAGTGTCACATGAGAGTGAAATGATGGAAGGTGTTTTGCAGAACTGCAAACTTACTTTTTGTAGATGGCGAAACTTCTGGTGTTATGAATGGGCTGTTCGCTGAATGTATATAATGTGTTAAGTGGAGCCAACCTGATCAATAAATATGGATCAATTGTGCTTACGAGAATTTTCTGCGCTGGTGAGGGGAGTGGCACTTCGAGACGACGGTTTTGCTGAAGCGATTTCATTTCAGCGACAAATATAAAGGGTCGCAAAAATTTAGGTATTTGATGGTCAGAAGGTAAGAGGAAAGTCGCTTTCTACGGCACCACAGGCGGTCAGGTAACAATAACAATACTGAAGGGAGTAATGCGAGAGCATGTGGTGTTTTGACGAAAATGCCAGTCCGCATTTATCGGGCTTCACATTGTGGATGACCTAGTACGGAAGAACTCATAAGAGCGCTCCATAAACTTCAAGCTGTAGAGTTGCGCAAAGATATTGATACTATGAGCAATTTCACTCTCGTATAGTGATCCTTTAACTAAATTGATCGTTTCCACTCACCAGACTCCATACCAGGAGCAATCCCTGGGACATGCTGCACTGATTGAGCTAGTGCTGAAAACAATAAGCATCACCTCATCGTCGCTTAGCACCGTTTTTGTGACGACTACTACAGTGCGACTAGAGGACCTTCTACAGCTATTGAGCCCATTCTGTCCCTCCACTTTGGTAGTCAAAACTTCCATCTTCTCGTATATGCCGTAGATCCTAGTTGCTTTTGAAAAATAACTGGAAAGATTTGCACAGCGCGCACAACTCGCAATCAGATCACCGGAGCGAATCACAGCCCGAAGAAAGTGGAGAGCTAGAAGCACATATGGTATTATCTCGTCGTCTCAAATTGTCAGGCAAGGCCCCTGATGCTTGTCGAATAATCTATCTGTGTGCAGGATAGCGTATAACGCAATCACACGTGTGCCGTTGCAGCGGCCCAAAACTGTGCAACAGTGGCGCTAGGACCTCACAACGCGAGCCTTGAGCGCTGATGAGGACTAACGTGAGGTAATGGAAGAGGTAAGTGTGATCCATTTTGCGTGTCATGGAGCACACCCCATGACACGCAACGTGGATCAGGCGTAGCGGCTACTACTGAAATGCGCGAATAAATGGAGCAATGGCCCTTTGCTTACTTTTTTGTTTTTCATGTGAGTCATTCAGATTTTCATTATCGACGTACTGTTACCCCCCCCCATTGGTGCGGGGTCGTGTAAACGATATCACAGCAGCAGGAGTTCCGTATAGAAGTAGCACTACGTTAAATACGTAATATCTTTTTCCATCCATGTTTTCTATTCGACCCACAGAATCTCTTAACTCTTTAGTCTTCAAGAATTGGCCCTTATTAGTAACTCTGGTGCTTCTTCCTA